CCATTCTGCTTTCAATGACACCTGACAATCTTCCATTTTTTTTTTCTCCAGTTAGTCTTTTAGCTTGTGCTTGATTTTTTCTGCTATCTTCTTCTATGTTGAAACTAACATGAATTTATTAATAATTATTATTATTTACAAGAATAAGAAAGGATCAATTTTTTTTTTGTCATGAAGACAAAAAAGGCATTATTGTTTTTATGTCTATTATACCGAGGTAAAATTGTTATATTTTAAAGAACTATTATCTTTTTGACCAATTAAGGAAAGGGATGTTAGAAAACAATTGTTTTTTTTATCAATTATCTTAGCAAACAATAAACCATTACTTTTCGGTTAACAAAGCTATTAATTTCTTTATGATTGAACTGTTGCTTTTTCGATCAATTAACAAAATAAATATTATGTCGATGTTTAAAATACTCGTGTTATAATGACTTTTAAAAGACAGCCCTAGTTGTCATTCTAATGCAAAATTGGGAAGGCGCAATGTTTAAAAAGAAAATATTGTCATCTCAACTGACCCTTTTAACTTTAACTCTCTAATTATTACATTTACTGTTACCTTTACTATTATTTGTTTCAAAACACATGTATTGATTGTTATCTTTATATTTTATAACCATCAAAAATATCACTATCATTATCATCGTCATCTTATTTTTTTAATTATTATCAAAAAAGACTTCAATTTTTACTTCCTTCTGTTACATTTTGAATTGCGGTTCCTCAGCAGGTCTATTAATAGAAAATCTACATACAGTAGTGCTAAAGGAAGTCAAATTTATAAGACATCATTTTCAAAGGATTTCCCACCAGTAATCAACTCATTTCGAAAATTCTATTGTCCTGTTTTTCGGAAGATACGTTTATGAAGATGACGAGGAATATGTATGTATGAGAAACACATGTGTTTATATACGTGTATTTTTTTTCCCCCAATAAAGAATGTATCTATTGTGTCAATATTAAGGTCACCTTGATCCAAACCACGAATGTCTATGAAAGTGATGACCTTACCACACATAACGCTAAATGTTGACGAAAACATGTTTGCAGAAGGTCAAGCATACGTTGTAATGAGCCGAGCCACTTCACTGGATAAGTTGCACATCTTGGGATTTGACTATTCCCAGCTAAAAGTCTCTAGAGCAGCCTTAGAAGAATATAAAAGATTGGAAGTTGTGAATAACAATGGGTTGCAATAGTTGCAATCATTATAAATAATAACACAACAACAATAATAACAAATGTTATAAATAATAATATTGACAACAATGATAATGGTCGCCTGTTTCCCCTCCTTGATGATTGTGTAAAAAAAAAAAACGTATTTATTAAAATAAAAATTTTGTAAAATTGAATTCGCCCAATGAAATTTAAGATGGGATGTATCCGTGAAACGTGAACTTGATACGTTAACGTTTTATGTGGCTCGCGTCAACCGATCCCTTCACTTCTAAAACTTGTTAATTACCGATCCGTCTATGAATCAGAACATTTTATTGAACAAATTTTGGGGAAAAAAATCATGTGAAAGAATCAAATAGCTTTGTTATAGAGGAAAGTGAGATTTGATAGACTAAAACATAATAAAATTTCAAATTCATTCCAGGCCAAGGCTGTATTTATGAATCAGATATTACAGGAGATGTAACAGGAAAAAGTGAAATTCAAAAAAGAAGTATTATTATTTCCATTAACAGCACAAATAATAAATTTTGTCTCGTTGAGTTCTAATTGAACATTCATATTTAAATGTATAGGAAAACATGTTTGTTTTTCTCCTTCAGGCATTTTTCAAATTATTGAAAGTCCACCTATTTTACAACGAATAGGTCACAATGAACTGTCAGAACAAGTTAACAACAGCAATAAGTTGAGGTTTATGTTTTTGTGAAGACATCATAAGTTAATTGTGATGAAATTGAGATTTATGAAATTATTCTCAAAAATGACTTCAATTTTACCGTTTTCTGTTACATTTTGAATCGCAGTTCCTCAGGCAGGTCTATCGATGGAACCGCTACATACAAGAGTGATAAAGGAAGTCAAATTTATAGAGACATCATTTTCCCACCAATAATCAACTTGACTATAAAGGTCTCTAGAACGGCCTTATAATATTTAAATCTGTTGTAACAAGAAATCCGCTGTGTAGAGGTCCGCTGTGACGAGGCTTGACTTTACCAATACTATTATTATATTAAAGGCAAGTTTCGTTTTTTTTTTCTCAAAGAGAATACGATACTTTAAAATTTATTTGTGTCTTCTATTCGGTCATGGAACGTATGGGGCTACCCTTCTTCGGATTCAAAATATTTGCATACTACAATGTGAGTATTTCTGTTGAAGGTCGACAAATGCAACGTCACCATCATGACTGAGCTGGGATGCTTATAAATGGTGTTGGTTTCTCTCATTATCTATGTTTCTAAAAGACTAAATAACGATGAAACAGACAATGGAAATTCTTGTTATAATATTACTATTAATATTACTATTACAAAATTTAATCCGTCATCCAATCGCTACACAAATGATACTAATACTAATACATCTGTTCGGATTAACTGATTGAACGAATAACAAAATATGATCATATTAATGTAAGTATTATTAGAAGTATATCAATAGCAAAAATTTAGTTTATAAACAAAAGGCAAAGAAACTTAGTAGAAAAATCAAAAACTATTATTTAGAGATGAACAAAGCTCAAAATGTTTTTTTATAACCTAGTTCAAAAGCAAAGTAAAGGAGGGAAAGAAAGCGAATGGAAACGATTTCCAATTAGTTGTCTGCAATTTGAGTTTAAAACGACTCACTTAGTTAATACGCGAGGCTTGTCTACTTGACGGTTTTTGAGCATTTCAAAGAACTCAAAAAAAAAAAAAACTACAAAATCGCGACGCATTCTAGCAACAAATTGATTTTGAATGATAAACTATTAAATATCGCAATTTTTATGAGGAAAACTTTTTATGCGAGCTATGCTTGCTTGATTATTTCTGAGCATTTCAAAGACGAAGTGCAAAAAAAATAATTGATAATCCGTCTATAAACCAATGAATTCGAATCGACGGAAGAAAAATATCACAAATTTTACTAATTGACGACTTTATATAAAAAAATGGTACTTGCAGTGCAAGTCACTTGGTCGCTAAACTTTTTATTGGATGTGTAAATCCTTTAATACTTCCAAAAATGGAAATTGCTACAAAGTTATGATTCTTAAAAGGTAGAAAAGGTCTCCTTTTTATAATTTAATTGTAACATGTGATTGGCCATTCACATTTTTATCTTAAAAATGAATCTAATATTTGAAAAATATTTTAACGAAAATGAAAGATTGTTAAATACTGAAGATTTTTATGATGTAAAAATATGTATTGATGTAGAACCAAACATTAAAGAAGTTCATGCACATGCATCTATCATATCAGCTCATTGTCCATTTTTTAGCAATGAATTAAATAATACAACAAAAGAAAATGGTTATTATATTGTTAAGAAAGCTAATATTAGTGAAAAAATTTTCAACCCTATTCTCAAGTAAGTTTAATAAATTTATTATTCATTTATTTATTTTATTTATTTATAATTATTGTTTAATAATTTATTTATTTTTTAAGATTTTTATATACATGTAAAATTGAATTTGAAAATTATTCTGGTGCTGAAGTATTAGAACTATTAACTGTGGCAGATGAATTTGGTATTGAGTCACTTTATGAATATACAATGAAATACTTTATTGAAAATTATGAAGATTATATAAAAGAAGATCCAGTTAAAATTCTAAAATTGATTTATGCTAATGAAAATTTTAATGAATTGAAAAATATCTATTTGGAAAAATTTTGTGAATACAGTGAAAAATTATTTGAATCAAGTGAATTTAAATCATTGGAAAAACCAATTCTATTGGAAATTCTCAAAAGGGATGATTTTTTTGTTGATGAAATAGTTATTTGGGAAAGCATTCTTAAATGGGGATTGACAAAACATCCAGAAATCAATAATATCAATCCTGAAGATTGGTCATCACAAAATTTTGTTGATTTAGGCAACACATTAAAAGATTTTTTTTCTCTAATAAGATTTCAGGATATTTCTAAAGAGGATTTTCTTGATAAAATTGAACCATATAATATGCTTTTTCCTAGGACCTTATGGAAACCCCTTTTACAATATTATGTAATTCCAGATAAACAACAAACATTAAATTTATTAACATCAAGAATTTCAAATTTGAACTCAACACTTGAATCATTGACAATTAATCAAAACCTTACTTTGCTTTTTGCAAGTTGGATTGATAGAAAAAGTCCACCATATACCTCATTTAGGGAAGTCAAGTATGAATTTAAACTTTTATATTGTAGTAGCAGAGATGGTCTAAATGCTCCTGCATTTCATCAAAAATGTGACAATATCAATAAAACTCTTGTAGTTGCCAAAATACAAAATTCTGAGCAAATAGTTGGTGGTTATAATCCACTTGATTGGAATGGAGGAGATAGTGTATTTAAAAATACAACTGAAAGTTTTATTTTTAATTTGAGTAATAGAAATGATATAAACACTGCAAAATTTAGTTATGTTTTGAACAGGAGGTGTCGATTTGCAATTTATGTTCATCCTAGTTTTTTACCAGTTTTTGGTACTAGCAGTAATAATGATATTATGTTTCGAACACATGGCAGTATTTATAGTAGTCCAACAGATTATGCCAATATCAATATAGTAAGTGATAGTAAATTTGATGAATTGGAAGTTTTTCAAATAATTGACAAAAAAAAATAATAATAAATACAATGTTAGATTATCATTATATTTTCTTTATATGTTTTTAATTAGTTATAGTTTAATTACTTTATATACATTGAATATGTTAGCTTGATAAATTATTACTAGTGTGAGGAGACAAAAATGTCAATAACTAATAAAAAAATTTTATTGGACATTCAACCAACTTAATGATAGTAAATGAACTTCTGGTCTTCACTTGAAAAAGTGGGGAGTAAAAAATAACTTTATTCAGGCCCTTGCTTGAATGAATGAGGAGGGCAAATACCACATTAACATTCAAATAAAATTTCTATAAAATCATTATCTTTTTAAAAATAAAATCCTTAAAAATCATAATAAACAAAAACACTATTTATTTTCTGTTTGAAGCAAAACGCTTCTATTTGATTAGTGAAATTTGACTAAATGTTAATTGGAAGTACTATTAGTGTTATTGCAATAAAATCATTATTGCTGTTAAATGTGCTGTTTAAACTGTTTTGTTAATAAACCAAGGTGAGTTTTCAATCAGCCCAAACAAGTATAAACGGTTAAAATAAATTGGCCACAAGTGAATAAAAGGAACTTTATTAAAGCCCTTGAGCTTTGTGCTTATTAATAAATGATATGATTGAATTCCACATTTGAATTCCATATTTAATAAACTCATGTTATTTTTTTGATTTAACCGAGTTAGAATTCGTGCTAATTTAATTGTTTTTTTGAATGCTTATTGTAAAGTAATTCAAAGTCCACCTACTCGAAAGGAACACAGGCAGTAAGATAAAATTTTTTGCACTTTTAAATTTTCAAAACCAAATAATTGATTACCAACAAACCTCAATGTTAAACATGACGGACCATTAAAATAAAATTGCATGTTATTTTTTTGTATATGTGCGTAAAGGATGATATATATCCCTATAAAAAAAAACAGTCCGTCATTTGAATTTTAATTCCAGAAATACTTCTGAAAATTTCCACGAATTTGCAACAAAGTCCATCTTTTCCCTGTAATCTTTCCATGAATATGATACATTTCTGGAGAAAACATGGAATTTTAAATCACGGATCAGTTTTTTTACAATGATATAATCATTATCACCCGATCCGTACCATTATTTATATGATGAAAACCCTATTTTGAATACTTCAATACATAATTTATCCTATTGAACTGAAAATAAATATCAATCAATAGTTCTTTCAAAAAATTTTATATCCTCGAAGCCAAACATTGTTTGATCATAATTGAAGATAGTAATCATAAATGGGCCACACTGACAAATGGCCAGGAAATTTCCTTATTTCTTTTAACGATAGTAGTTACAAAATAAAGGACATTTAGTTTTCATAACTACTCTAAGTGGATACATAGGCAGGTGTAATACTATCTGCTGTTAGTGGTGCTTTAATCCGCCATTCTTTGAATTTATTTCATTATATATAAATTGGGAACAACATTTCCTTGGAAATTAAAGTTACAACATTTTGAGGGGAAATAATATTTTTGCTCGTGTTGGCATATATTACATTCATATCTTTGATCCTAGTTAGTAAGATAAATTGTTAGAATAAAGACTATAAAAATATTAAACAGTGATGAGCAATGGCCATATTTTCTCGATAATCTATGATCATGTGGTCACATGACCTCAATGACATGACTTGAATGACCACAGTCATTAGGTCATTTAGCAATAAAAATTACTTGTCTATAATATGTTAAGTAACAAAATTTGTCCTTGTTAAGGGTAATTCAAAGGCTGTTTGTATGAAAAAGGTTGTGGGCTTGGCCATTGCACAAATAACATCTGAATGACAAATAAAGCGAGACACTGTTGCAACCACCTTGTTAATTGCGAATGAAAAGTTCAAGTCAAATTATGCTGATGAAAAAATTTGTGCCTGAAGGCTCAAAAATAAATAGTTTAAAACTTTTGATTAGGATCTTTTAATTTATTATATATTCTAGTTACAATTCCCTAACAAAAAAAACCAACAGACTACCGATTCATCATTTTTTTAGGTATTAACATAATATAAAACCCTCGCAATTTGGTCTGAGAGTATCACCTCCCGATATGAAAATAGTCTTGGCAGTTCACAATTAAAAATTCGGTTAATATTCATAATGCAAAATCCATGATATATCAACAATAAATGACGTTTTATACTAGGTTGTTGTACCTAATAAAATGACCAAATGACCAATAACCAGTCATCAAAGTCATTTGGTTGAACATTTACAAAATAATTTATCGTCATGAGCAATAAAAAAATTAAAGTAATAAACCTAATTGTCTTTAGTTTAGTATTATGCAGGGATAAGAACGGTCCGGTTTATAGACCTCCGGTTTGGCTGGCGAATTGAGGTTTTATGAATTCGTTGTAACAAGAATTTATTTATACGAAAAACAGTGGTTTCCTGTTCCTTGTTACACAATAGAACCCAATTTTTCTTTTTACTGGCAGATCAAAAGAACGACAAACAATAAAAATTGCTTTACCAATAATGATGGCAATAAAGTGTTTATTCTATTAATAATTCAACATCATATTTATCTTTTCAATAACAAAAACAAAATATTTATCCAGTTCCAAACGTGGCTGGTTCTCTCTAATACTAACCTATTTTTGTATAAAAGGATTCCGGTGCTAATCAATTAAATATTAATGAATGATTTTTTATCATTAATCCTCTTCCGATCATCTTCATATTGAATCTTTCTAAGGTTGTTTACCAAGTTAGATGCAATTTAAGCGTCAAGTTTTGCAGCTTTATTTAATAAGATTAGAATAAGAAAGAAGGAAGAGAAATCGAAGATTCAAATTTTGACATTGAAAAATCAATTATTACTTGGATAAGTGTCAACGTAGAAATGTAATATTGGGAACAATAGGACCCTAGAGGTGGGACAGGGAACCCCATTGTATGTATGTCACCAACACTTGTATTCGAATAGTATGGTGCAATACCTCTTCTTTAAACCACCAATTTTTTTACACATAATGTTAGAATAGAAGTCACTTTCTGTGCGCAAGTCGCTTAGTCGCTGAACTTTCTGCGCCATGACCCCATATTTTTTAATTAGCAGAATTATATTAACATTAATATTAATAAATTAATAAATGGAAAAACAAAACGCGATTTTTATTTTACTTTTTATTACATTTTGTACATTTTGCAATTTTATACAATACTATTTATTGATCGTTATTGTTGTTGTGTCTTCATCACGAATGAGGAATCATTTTTTCAGAACATTTGGCAAACAATAATAATACAATGTTTCTTTTATTCTATTATTATTGTTTATTTAATTAGTCTTAATCAAATCAATCAAATCAAATCAATCAAGATTAAAAAAATTTTAATTTGTCCATTATAATTAAAGTTTAATTTTCTTTTAACAATTGAT